ATAGACTACCCACAATGCAACACTGACCCGTATATATAAATAGCTGAGAAAAAAAACAACACTCGTGGCCTGATGATTGCGTCTAGCATGAAGCAGCCTGTCGTTTCTAAGTGTTGACTTCAATGTTCACTTTTATATTTACACACGCTCTATCTCTGATATTGAGCACTTTATCCCATAAATAAAGCAAACCTTAAGAGTATATATATATATATATATATATATATATATATATATATATATATAATTATTTATTTAAAATATGATAGAAGAAGATTCCAAAAAAAGATTCCCAAAAAATTTTCGCTTGAAGATGGAACAGAGCTTATTTTAACTCAATTTAATTTAAAATAATTATATTGAAGTTTTCGGCTATTGTTTTGAAACATGGGACTTCTTATGTCGCGATTTGGAATCATATTTTTAAATAAATAATTATATTTATGCTCTACTCGAGCACTATTTTTAAAAATAAGAACTAAATTACTAAGGGACTTTTGGATTATTTACCTAACCAGTTCCTTCCTATTTTCTATATTTTCACACACACACACACACACACACACACACACACACACACACACACACACACATATATATATATATATATATATATATATAATGTAATACTATGTGTCCAGATCGTATTAAAATGAAGACTAGCATATGCGTAAGTAAAAATTTCGTTACGCTATTAAATGTAAGGAAATGAAGGCGTTGAAACTTACGCTAATGGAATCAATGATTGTTCTTTTCTCAGTTGTTAAATTTTAGATGGCAGTTATATGTCTCTATTGATTAATTTCTTCGTTTATTCGGAAATAAATATTTCATATTTTAACACAATAATTAGACCAGAATACACACACCTTTTAAAATCTTATATATGTGTGGGTATGGACAGGTTAATGTATATTGATGTAATATCTATAAGGTGATTATCAAGCCTTCTTTATGTCAACCAACTTAGTTCCACACTCAAGCACAGAAATTGATATAACAAGATTGTATTTTGTGTTCACGTCCAATTATCAACTTCCATTTACAATCATTTGAAGCATCCATCTTTCTTTTTATTTTGATTCTTTTTTTCTTTTTATTTCTTTTTCGTAGCGTCTGTTCGATGCCCTTTGAGGTTAAAATTTAGAATTAAACAATATCCGGTTGAGTGTATCTTCCGGTTTGATGTTGTAAGGAACATCACCTCCAGGGTACACACGACACTAAATCTAAAATCATCAGAGAGCTGTTAACAGCTACCGATATGTCATGGCTCAATTTGTCCCCCAGAAGTTTACCGACCACTTGTGTAATCGATGCCATGTCGAGTGGCTGCACTTCGCTTGTTTAAAACTATACTTAACATCTCCGCCATAACTTCTGGCATGTTAGTGTATTTGAAGTGGTTGTTCTGGAAGTAACTATTAACTATTTTAATAAAAATAACAAAGAAATGTAAGTGATGATTTTAAATACAGTATATAATAAGCAGTGTTTCGTGCATTTTGAGACAGACAACATCTGAACAAATAGATCTTTATTTATTTACTACATTTGTAATTTAATAAGAATTAATCTGTGACACTGAGGCCATGAGGTGGTTAAATGTTGATTCTGAGTAGAAAAGGGTTATGCCCAAAATGGAATGTAGACTAGAATATATTAAGAGAAACACATTATCTATCTATCTATCTATCTATCTATCTATCTATATATATATATATATATATATATATATATATATGAGAGAGAAAACATTTTCCTTGAGGAAAATAGGACCGTCTGGATTTATTCTACCCTAAAGTTCAATATTCTTATCTATCGATTTTTCTGGCATGTGGACGAAAACAGATTTGGAGAAAATTTTTATCTCTTCCTTGAGAATGTAGGCAAAGAAATATATTTTCGTTGACGAAAAAGAATTATTAAATGAAAACAAGGGACGAACCCGTTGTTTGTGTCGAAGTTATGATGATCGATTCTGTCATGACAAGCAGGTGATCAGGTTTGTGTTTTAGCTAGTCAGCGATTAGCTCACGGATGTTAACAGTTTTATCTGTTCCTTGAGAATTTAAGCAAACAAATATATTTTCGTTGACGAAAACGAATTGGTAAATTAAAACAACGAGCGAACCCGTTGTGAGGGTCGAAGTTATGAAAGCACATCCTGTAATTACCGAGAGGATGATAGTGTTTGTGTTTTCGCTGGACTTGGGTACGTCCGGGAGTGGAGAAATAATTGTATCTCTGCTTTGAGGAGGAAGGATAATTAAAATTAATGATTAGAATAAACTACGCTCTTTCGCCCACTGGATTTGAAAATTAGATTTGTCACAATGACAAATGACAATGACAATGACACTGCGCTAGCCCTGAGAGATGGAAAGATGTGGAATGCTGAGAAGGAGGACATAGCGCCGCCTGAGTGGAGTGGTGGTACCAGATGTGAAGTTAAGCAAGTTGGAGTTGTGGGGAGGAGCAGTTCCTGTAACTATTCCCGAGGAAGTGTATAATTCTCTAAATTTGGAAAGTTGATTAAGATAGCAGAAATAGGGAACAAAGAACCGTTATCAGAATTAATGTAAAAATTGAAAAATCTCTTCTGTCCCACGCCAGTTTTGGCCGGAGTGTATATATTTGGGAGCTCGAGTATTTGGGCTGAGAGCCCCCGTATCAAGTATCTCTGAAATTCACGTCAGCTGCCACCAGATTTTTTGATTCAGAAGAAATTATATAGACTGGTGCGGGAAGGGTTATTTTTTGCTGTACCAAGACTATATAAACGAATTGAAGATTGTCACATGAATCTTTCGTTTTATTTTTTTTTTTTCGCTGTGAAGATATTTTTTCCGTAATATAGCATCCGACACGGCTTGGGCCAGAGCTGCGATTACTAAGGCGTTTGATTTTTCACTGCTCTGAGATCAAGAACACAACATGGGCAGAGTTGGTGTAGATCGAAGCGGACAGTGACCAACAACCAATATGGACCAGCATCAACGATGACCAGTGCAGAGTTATCTGTGTGGTTAAAAACGTTATCCTAAGAGCATGAGGACCGTACCACTAAACGTGGTTGTACTACCGGGTGTAATCGGCTGTAAAAGGTGTTATGAATCAACATTTATATATGTTATAGTGGAACACACCTATTATATAGGTAATAGACTCTCCCACCTATAATAAGTAGGAGTAGTAAGAGTAACGAGAGTCCGCTCAGTCGATGCCGGACGACCGTTAGTCGGATACTAAAGTATCAGCGACCGCAACTAGATTTCTCTGCGTCATTACCTATTATATCAATTTCCTAACGTTTTGTACGTCGAACCTATTTTAGGACCAACTTAATACAAATACAAGCCTCCACTGTGAAATCACTCCATAACAATATATATATATATATATATATATATATATATATATATATATATATAGTTAAAACAGCCTTCCCTGACGATCCGCTGAGGTGAAACCTTGGTAGGTTTGTGTGGCTCTCTAGGTTTAACTAGGTCTACTCTACTCATTGTATTGAGCGCTTTATTTAGTTGTTTTGCATACTCGCATCGGGATTTTTTTGGTGGGGCCTTTAACTCGTATGCTGGACGCTTATTGTCGGTTAACGTACATGTTCTTGGTTCTTTCTTTTTTTATACCTTTTTTTCCCTTTTGGTGTTGGCTTGTTTATTTGAAAATCAATATACTGAAGGTTTTCCGAGCATAGTATAGTTTCTTATATTCATAAGATTTCTATTAAGTATATATATATATATATATATATATATATATATATATATATATACTTTTTGTAATGTCAACGAACACTCGCTTGACACTTTTGTAATGTCAACGAATACTCGTTGTGATTTTCGCAATGCTCGTTGTAGTAGAGACTTTGTAATCGCAGATACAACTATAGTATGCTGTTGAACAATGCTGGTGTCTGACGCCTTCGAATGTCATTGGCGCTAATAGTACTTGCTCGATAATACTCACTCGTAAATTAACCACTGTGTAGTCATCTGGATAGAGAAATAGTAGGGTGAATAGACTAAAGAATGGCAGTCCGTATAGTAATAAAGGATAGACTAGAAATGAAGATCCGAATAGTAATAGAGGGTAGAATAGTAATGCGATTAATTAGACGTCACGCTACTTTCTATATATGTCTTTTCTTTAAGATCACGTGGTATACTTAATTCAATAATAGGATCGCCTGTTTTTGCTCACTGGCGATCTATGTTCAAAATCAAGTGTCGACAGTGACACTTTATTCCTATATAACAATACTATTATTCTGAAGGTAATTTCATATCAAAAACTGTGGTGAAGAATTAAAAGAAAATTGCAAAATGAATCCTGAACAATTAAAATCATGAAAATTTCAAAAGTGTTTAGGATGATTATGATAAAGCATCGTGCTGCTGCTAACAGACAGGAATAATATCAAAACGGAAAAAGAAAAACGACAGTATGACATTGATCATTTTCATCTCGCAGTATAACATTCTCGATTTGCAGCGCAATTGATCATCAACTCACATATCGAGCGATCACAGAGTTTGTAGATTGGATTAACATTTGCGGAAACTAAGTTTTCCCGCGTAGAAAGCCAAGCAGAAAGTCAGACTGAAAGATTACAGACTAAAATGAAGACAGCAAAGAGAAACGACAGGTCGACTGGTCAGAGATTCGTCAAGATTTTGTCGATACACGGAGGATGAAGATAAATACATAAGAATCGCACAGCCGGAAAGAAGTTAAAAGGCGAAAAGAAAGAATGATGAAGTAGGCTTGAAATTGCTATGATTGATCGATGCAAGATTAGAGATAAAATAAAGAAATTATTTGACACACTTTGGAAAGTATACAATTTGTCTACATGTCTTCAAGAAATCTGATTTGGCTTCAGGGAATATTTACGATGATATTCGGTTTGAAGCTTCAAATCCACTGAAAATAGGAGTCACGCTTTCAAACACAAACGAGTTTCAAAAGTAAATTTAAAGATGGAGATAGATAGATAGATAGATAGATAGATAGATAGATAGATAGATAGTGTGTTTGTACGTTCGTATATAGACTGATAGATAATGAACAGAATGAGAGAGATAGAAAGATAGATAGATAACAAACAGGACAGATAGATAGATAACGAAAATAATAGATAGATAACAAACACAATAGATAGATAGATAGATAGATAATGAACAGAATAGATAGATACATAGATAATGAACAGAATGGGATAGATAGATAGATAGATAGATAGATAGATAGATAGATAGATAGATAGATAGATAGATAGATAATGAACAGAATGGAATAAATAGATCGATCGATAGATAGATAGATAATGAACAGAGATAGATAGATAGATAGATAGATAGATAGATAGATAGATAGATAGATAGATAGATAATAATGAACAGAATGGAATAAATAGATCGATCGATAGATAGATAGATAATGAACAGAGATAGATAGATAGATAGATAGATAGATAGATAGATAGATAGATAGATAATGAACAGAATTAGATAGATAGATAGATAGATAGATAGATAATGAACAGAATTAGATAGATAGATGGAAAGATAGATAAAAACAATTAGATAGATATAAAGATAGATAATGAACAGAATTAGATAGATAGATAGATAGATAGATAGATAGATAGATAGATAGATAGTGTGTTTGTACGCGCGTGAAATATAGAAAGAAAGCTACAAGAGAGAAACAGTAAGAACAGCCTGAAAAGTAGACAACAGTGAATTTTTTTTTTTATCATCGAGAGACGAACGAAATCTTTTTTTTGGTGATGCATAACATTTAAATTGTTTTTTGTTTTTTGGGTTTTTTTTTTAAACAAACACCAATTCTTAAGAATAGTTATTCTTTCTTTTTTTTTTTTTTTGCTACGATTTCGTTCCTGTTTTTGGAAGTAGATTCAAGCAAAAAAATCGGATTATAATGGTGTCATTTTATTCTATTTTTTTTCTTTTGTTATGAATGGCAAAATTGAAATGCAGATGTCTGAGGACGGGATTAAAATTTAAAGAAAGTCATTTTTTTTTTTGCTCGAATCAATTTACTAACGATGAAAAAAAAAAGGCGTGTTGAGTTTAGATCTCGACGTTTGTATTTCCACAAATACAGTTGTCCTTAAAGCGACAAAGGATTTTATAGCTTTCTGTTTGTCATTTTATTTCACTTATAAATTCTGATTATGCATTTAATTTTAAGAAGGAAAATATTTACTGACAGGAAAATCTTTATGTCTTTCGTGACTGCTTTATGTACAAAATAAATTTATAGCCAACAATGATGTTTGCACAAAATATACAATGTATTTCAGAAAAAACAATGTTTTCACAATCTGTGTGTATTTCTGAGATGGGGTATTATGTACATTATTTACATTAATCGGACCATTGTCCTCATCTTTGTCGCCATATTTATTACAACTGGCCTTCTTCAGGTGGTTGGAATGCCGAACTGAACCCTTTATTTCGCTCCTTGAGGACACATGGCAGGGTGGATAGAGGCGTTAGTTAGACCCAATGACAGGAACACCAGAAAGCTGTAACACGAGGGGAAGTGGAAAAATCATGCGTGGCTGACTATATATGGAAAGATAAGCGACATCACCGCCCTGTGTGGGATCAGGTTGAGATCATAGACAAGGAACATCATTGGAAAATTTGTAAACTTAAGGAATCAGCACATATGCCAGGCAAAAAAAATATCTTGAGCCGACCAAGCATAGAAATGAATACAATATGGGAACCGGTAATAAGGAGTGCCAGAGAAAAGCAATAATAATGAATGATAACAGCAAAATTGCAATATGAGCACTGGTAAAAATGGTTGCTGAGACATTAGGTTTATAATACTCAGAAATTCATAAAACGCAGATTGTGTGTGTGTGTGTATGTGTGTGTGTGTGTGTGCCTGTTCGTTTATATATTGGATCGGATTTCCTACATTTTTCAACTGATTTCAACAAAACTTCACAGGACTGCGTAAAATTAGCTTGCAGTGGTTCTGACAGCACCAAAAATTGGAAAAACACAATTGTTTTTGCACGAAATCAATTTGAAAACACGATAAAACACGATTCACTCACCAGAATAAAAGGGGGACAACTCATATCGAGTTATACTTATAAAACCCAGGTTGTTTGTTTGAGTGTGTGTGTGTGTGTTCCTTCATATATGGGATTGGATTTCCTACATTTTTCGATTTCAACAAAACTTCACTTTATTTTGGCAGGTAGTTTTTCTTATTGTCTTGCACACTTTTTTCTTTATTTTTACATTCAGAATGCTTTAAAAAATTCCATTTACAAGACAATTATTTAGAATAAAATACTATTCAATCGATAGACGCATAACGATTGAAAACAATGTTTTTGTTTGAGTTTGAGTTTGACCAATTCGTAAAAAAAAAAAAAAAAAAAAAAAACTAATTAAGACATGTTTGTCCGTCAACCTTAAACAATCTTTGTCAATTTTATTTTTCAGTCTTTATGATGGTCGTTACTTGATCTTTTACTGTTACATCCCCGGGCAACACCGGGCTCTACTGCTAGTCCTTGATAAAATCCAAAGAAGAATTAATAATATTATTAATCGGGACCTGGCATCTCGGCTTCAGTCGCTTTCCAACCACCGTAAAGTTGCCTCCCTCTGCCTTTTCTATAAATACTTTCATTGTAGTTTTTCGGATGAGATCTTAGCTATGGTACTTAGAATTTAAGAATTTAATCGCAGTAATAGATTGGCAACAAGGTCTCATCAATTTAAAGTTGAAATGGGTAGGTAATAACCGTAAGTTCTATGTTAAGTTTTTTCTTTTCTCCTATTCTCGCTTGTGGAACTCCCTTCCAGCTCCATGCTTTCCAATCAACTATAATCTTAAAAAATTTGAATGCAATGTCAATGGCTATGTTTTATCTTCCTGATTACTCTTCTATTGTTCTTCCCTTCTTAGTAATGTTTCTGTTTTCTAATTCTTCCTCACCCAGTAAGCGTTTGTGTCTTTGTGACATCACTGTCTTGCTTGGCTTGAACTGAATCAAAGAAACAAAAACAAACTAATTATATTTTACTTACATTACTAATTTAAAACTATTACTACTAGTATGAAAACGATGATGACAATTATGATGATGACAGCGATGATAATGATAATAATTTATAATAATAAAAATAAACGCCCTCATCAAAGTTCCAACTACTAACCGGTTTTATACTTTACGTTATTCGATTAAAACATGATGACGACAATGATGATTTATTTCCTGATATCCATAATAAACGTTTTACGTAATGTCACAACCTTCATTCTGAACGCTGTTTACCTTCTATGAAAATATGACCTTCGCCTTAGCGAAAGATCTTCTTGATTTTGTTAAAAGAGAGAATACAGCGGCCTCTCTTAATTCTTTTAACGGTTTGACGGGTCTAACATCACTTATCATTTTATTTTGTGTATTTGTTTTGATATTTTAGTTTGTTTTGGGGGTTCATTAGCCCCTCCCCTTATATATCATCCATAGATTTTTACATACAGAATGTTATAATCGTTAATTTTTATGTCATGGAGTCTTTTTGTAAGTCCCCCTGAGAGTATGCGGTATTGTTGTATATGTAGGATGAAGTGCTTTTAGTGGATCTGAAAATTGTCACGTGTGAATGGATAGTGAATCTGATTAGCTAGGCATAAGATAGTAAGTGATGACCAGCCTCATCCCCCCCAATTGTCGGCCTTGTGCCACTCTTGTATTTTATATACAATAAATCTTAACTACATATAAGCAATAGTAGGCAAAAATATCATTAGAAAAAATCTCAAAACAAGAGTCAATATACAGAATTTATGGAAGCTAAAACTCTTACATATATATTTAAAATACAACTTTTCTTTCTTAAAACGGATGTAAACGTCAATAAATTATGTTTGCTTTTTGGAAAAAAACTCAAAGCATTAAAAGTTTAATTTAATTTCCTAAAACCTAAACTTGACGTAAAACATCTTGAGCAATTATCCTTCAGAATGTGGGTGGAGCAATTGCTTCCTAAGCACATCGATTTATTGATTATAAGCTTCTCAGCATAAATTGGAAGTGGGTTTTTAAGTTCGAAAAGAAAAACGAGCAATTTACTCAATATCTCGTACCTTTTTGCATGAAACTCTTTTGACGTTTGAATGATTTTTTTTTTTTAACCAACCTCCAAAGATTCTCATTTCACATTATTCGAAACTACGGCTATATTATCTACAACGACTCTACTTCATGCATTTATTTAAGGGTCGATTCTTTTAAGTACAATTTATTTCTTAGCCGAGTTATCTAAACTGTATTCTTTCTTGTCTTTTTCCGGGATTGAAAATCCATAGCAACTCAACTTTGCCTAGAATTGGGCCAATTTCACAAAAAGACGCGCATAATTAGCTGAATCGACCGTAAAATCCGGGAGAAAATTCCTTTCTTAGAAGAAAGGTAAACTATTTTACCATATTAGTCACTGAGTCTTCCTTCGTTGTTTTTTCAGCTCCCTCCAAAACCAATTAAAATACAAAAAAACATTCGAAGATAATAAAAAATAGTTTCAATAACATTAAACTTAATTACGGTAAATCATTACACTTAATTGGTAAATAATTTATTCTGAAAGAATTATTAATCTGCTTGAAGTCTAACTAATCTATAATGACAAAAGTCGGCAGGTGTAGGCTTTAAGAAAGCTTTATTCAACTGAGAATACAAGGCCTTTTATAGCCCCAGTAAACAGAAATAGCTCTCTCAAAGAGGAGAGTAACGAAACAAGGGAAGACCACTGTAGATTATTCATAACATAGTCTTTGGTATAAATTAGTAAATATCTTTTTTTAGTGCAAAAGCTGTTTTAACATTTGAGGCTAACCTCATCGTTCAAGGAGCTTGACCCCATGTCACATTTTAAGTAAATGAATTTGATTCGCATTCCTGACTATATTTAATAAGCATGCCCGTATTTTAGGGACAAACGTGACATACACATTTCGAAAACATTGTTTCAAATTTAATATCTATTTGGATTCATTTTCTTTTACTTCCTTTGATTGTAGTTTATATTTTAATGCCGACACAATGGCTAACACGCATAAATGAAAGTACCTGTGTTTCTACCTGTCGTACGCAAGTTTTGATATTTAATTAAAGGTGGAAATATTGCAATTTTAAGTTGGTAACTCTTGAGGAAAATAAAGGAAATACGTCTTTATCAAGGAATTTGGCAATACATTCGTTGTTCACACGAACACAACTTCCAGTGTAAGAGATTGAATATCAAATTATTGATTTCTTGAAACATTAACTTCTCTTTTGTACAGTTGGGGACACTGAAGTGCCAAAAATTATGATGTATTATCGAATGTGTATTTAAAGTTTTGAGAACCACAAAACTACACGTGCCATACTTGGAGGAAAATAGTTTACTTTATAGTGTTAAATAATAACTTCATTCTATTATTTTCTACTGTCAGTGTATTTGGCTCAGACATTCTGAGATTGACCTTAAGGCTAGATGGTAAACAAAATAGTGATGTCGATTTTGATTGGCTGAGCCGAACGTGGGATGGTTAGAGTTAGAAAGTGTTTTCTAGGAGTTAAGTTTTATGCGTCGAAGAAGGCAGACGTGATAATTTCGTGTGTGGAAATTGAACCCCAGTGGTGGTGCAATAGCAAACACACTGGCTAGTTAAAAAATGCACACGTCGCAGGTGTTTCAGAAAAATAGATAAGTTTAACATCCTTTTTGTTGAAGTTTTCATTTTACCCCTGGACCCAAAATATTTCAACAACCGATCGGGAGAAAATGGCCGAGGCAGAAGAATGCAGATTCATTATGGAATCGACCCAAAAAGCGACCCCCAGAACGAAGGGGCTATACAACACTAGGAAAGTTAATATTTTCTACAGCGAAAGAATATTTACAACCTTGCATTGTTTTAAATTCTAAGCTCCTAAATGCAAAGTTCATAAGGTCAATCTTATTAAGACAAAACCCGCACTAAAGTAGAGATGAGAGGACTATAACTTAGTGCAGCACAAGACCAGAGTATGGATGCAAGCTAGGCGCAAACTAATCTGCGGTAACTGTTTTAGGTATATCACCCCAAGCAAGACACTAACACGCAAAGGGGTTACAGAGTGTGAAAGCAAGAGTAAAGATGGTTGTTTGAGTAAAGGATATAGAAAAAGACAGGGATCAGGATCAACGCAACAGAAGATATCGATTGACATCACATTTGAATATTTGAAGATTATAGCTACCAGGGAAGCAAGTAAGAGGAAGGGAGTTCCACTGATGGGAAGTGCGAGATAAGAAGCTGTTGAAGTAGAAGACGTGGTTACATTTAACCATTTCGACAGTGAAAGGTTGGGACCAATATGCCAATCTAGTAGCACGCTTAAATTCATGTAATTGGGCTACTAGTGAAAGTAGATCGTCATAGCGGTTGACGTCAAAATATTTTTTAGAAAAGACAGAGGGAAGCCACAGCACGTCTGTGAGAAAGTGACTGTAGACGAGATGCCAGATCAGGACTTATCGCATTGTATATCCTTGTCTGGATTTTGTCGAAGACCTCTAGATAAACAGCAGGACACCAGACCATATATGACAACAGTTAAGAGGGGGGCGTATTTATTTTTTGTCTAAAACCACCTCGTGGAGCAAACATCAAATTACAAAATATTCGTTTTACTTTCGACATTTTGTTAAACATCTTTACAGTATGTTTAATGGTGATTTTCACTTTTTCACATTGACAAGAGGAAATGTTTTCAAAATGTCGAGAAATGTCATATCCTAATATAAAAGGTGAAATAAATAAAGCTATCCAACAACAATTTGCGTTGATTTTATAACTTGATGTTTATTGTCTAAGTTCGTTGGAAATAAGTATCTGAAAAAATTATTCTTGAATAATGAAAAATTCCAACCTGAGTTTTAATCATTTAAGATAACTTTTGGCAATGGTGATGTCAAAGTTAAACATTAAAATATCATTTTTATCTGAATGAAGTGAACAAGTCAAGAATATGTGAATTCGCTTTTATTTAAACAATATCAAATAGTAGCAACATGAAGAAACGTACATAAACACACACACACAGTGGCACACAAACATAAAACATATTAAAAACCAAGAAAGGTTTTAGTTGAGTATTTTATTAAGTATAATTTCCTTTATAACTAGGCTTTTGAAATCAGGAATGAAGTTGTTGCAATTATAAACAGTTTTGGCTTTCAAGAATGATTCTATTTCTTTTTATTTTTGTGAAAAATACTTTTGAGTTTTAAATGTAATTATTTTTTACACTATGCGTTCGTTCAAATAGTCACACCGGCATATTTTATTTTGCGTTTCTTTTTTTCGTTGATTTATTGTTTTCTTTATTAAATAGATTTTATATGTTTCTTTCTAAATTGAATATAATTTCATTAATCTTAAGTTTAATTTTATAGTTAAACTTCTAAAATTTCTAATCATTTTTTTACAATTTTTACGATATATTTTTGTATTATCTATAAACACTATTTTACGATATATTTTTGTTTTATCTATAAAAAAACTTTTTACGATATATTTTTGTTTTATCTATAAAAACATTTTACGATATATTTTTGTTTTATCTATAAAAACTTTTTACGATATATTTTTGTTTTATCTATAAAAACTTTTTACGATATATTTTTGTTTTATCTATAAAAACTTTTTTACGATATATTTTTGTTTTATCTATAAAAACTTTTTTACGATATATTTTTGTTTTATCTATAAACACTATTTTATGGTATATTTTTGTTTTATCTATAAACACGATTTTACGATATATTTTTGTTTTATCTATAAACACTATTTTACGATATATTTTTGTTTTATCTATAAACACTATTTTATGATATATTTTTGTTTTATCTATAAACACTATTTTACGATATATTTTTGTTTTATCTATAAAAACTTTTTTACGATATATTTTTGTTTTATCTATAAAAATAAACGTGGCATTGTTTATAGTTTTGTTTTATTGATTGATAATGTTCCATTTAAAAGAGCTACCACCAGGAAAATGGAAAGTTAATCTACAAAATATAGTCATTTTGTAGCCAAAGTCTACAACACATTTTTCAAGTGGGCAAGAAAGTTTATAAATGTCATTAGTCTGCTGAGGTTCTGATGTTGTTGTTATTGTTATATTACATATGAAAGTGAGATTTATTTAATTTTCTATAATAAATAATAATTAATGAGTTTAAAATGGAAAAAAAAGTTTACTTACGTTTAGATTCAGGCGGAGACAATTTAATTTTCAATGGCGCATAATGAGAAAAGAGGGATTACAAAGTTGACACTCAACATATTACATGAAATTTGCTGATTAATATATGTCGGTGGAGTAATGGATAGCGGCACGGATTGAGGAATCGGAGAGCCGAGTTCGAATTCCAGTCGAATCCATTATATTCACTTACGTGCTAATAAACTTGAGAAAAGTATGAATCCTCTTCTTCTCCCAGCAATTATGGGTAAATAGGACGAGTACTATAGCGCAGAAAGAAATGGTGACCTATTGTGGGAAAAAAATCTGCCTCGTGAGTCACGTATCGAAAGGACCGACCGGGTTCTATAGCCTTGGATGGCAATTGGTCTAACGCAGAAAGAAATGGTAATCTACTGCGGGAAAAATCTGCCTCGTCAGTCATGTATCAAAAGATACATGATCGCCTAAGCGTGTATCACGCATGGCACATAACTAACTGAGTATTTGTTCGTTATAAAATGTTTTGTGTAAAGAAGATATTAAGTGTACAATTTGCATTAAATTATTAATATGTCTATTTGTATCTATACAGTGAATGACTGGATCAAACTTCAGTACAAGATATATCCAACTTCATGGCACCGGTTTGAACTATTAATAATTAACGGTCTTCTTCTTATTATTATTTTATTTCCTTTCATTTCTGGTGTGTACACATATCTTTCAGGGTCATGCCCAGAGACCTAAGGTTAGAAATGGCACCATGACATTTTCCAATGACCAATTAAAAAAAAATCCACTCATTTTTTACATAGATAAAGCCATTCGTAAGATTTGGGCTTCCAGGAATCTTTTCAATGAGTTTACTGGAATCTTTTCCAACCAATCTTAGGGCATCAACTACAACATGGACTGTTGATGTTCCCATGTGCTACATTTTTCAGTTTTCGGATTCAAGGTCTTTGTATTTTGATAGCTTTTTGAAGATCTTCAAAGATACATTGCAGTCTGCCGGGACTGTTATATCAATAAGGAGGCACTTTTTTGTTTGTGGTCTTTAATAACAATGTCTGGGCGGTTGGCTTTGATTGTTCTGTCAGTGTGTATTGTGTAGTCCCATAGAATTGTAACAGGTCCTATCTCCGTAACCGGGTCTGGGCGGTGTTCATACCAGTTTCTTTCAGTTTCCTTCCCGTAGAAGTTGCATATTTTCCAGTGCAGATATTGGCCCACTCTGTCATGCCGCATTTTATATTCAGTGGGTGCTAATATCGTGCAACCTGATACAAGATGATCAATTGTTTCTAGATATCTTTCACAGAATCTGCATTTTGGTCTAACACTATATTTTAGTATATGTGCTTGATAATTTCTACTTAACAAGCATTGGTCCTGTGTAGCAAGGATTATTATTATTATTATTATTATTATTATTATTATTATTATTATTGCCTAAGAGAACATTTTGTTAGTGATTACTGGGGTCTAAGTAGCAGTAATCCTCTTTAAATATCCCGCATATTTCTCCTATTTCTTCCTTCTAAGATCTCTCAAATTTCCTTTGTGACAGTTCTAGTGCTCCGGTGATCATGGGTAGAACATTGCTTTTCCATATTCTACATTTGTGGCAGTATACTA